TAAAATTTCATTTGTCTTAAATATTGAATATTAACTTTTCACGGTTAGATAACAACATCAATGTTGATTTAAATTGACCAAAAGGGCGTGTTTTCAATGTCGAACACCGTGGACGATATTAAGTTAAAGACTTGGCTCCATTAATGTTCGATTACTTAGTGCTAAAATATTTCAAGGGCTTTATATGATTTTTGGAGGAATTCCCAAATAAGGGAAATCTAGAAATGTAATTAAAGGATGAGATAAGCTCTATGTTTATACTTTGTTGACTTAGTGCTTAAATATTTCAAGGGCTTTATATGATTTTTGGAGGAATTCCCAAATAAGGGAAATCTAGAAATGTAATTAAAGGGTGAGATAAGCTCTATGTTTATATTTTGTTGACCTTTGAAAAGGAAAAACCCTTTGAAGTCCTTCCTAACCTTCTGTTTGGACGAATGGCATGAATAACAATGCTACTTAACCAATCATTCGTAAATAATTGTAATATTTCAGATATAATATTATTTAGAAATTCTACCAGTCTAGCAAAAAAAAACCCCAACGAAATCATTTTATTATGCTTTACAAACTTGTTTATGGTCCATTGAATGTGTTAGCGTTAATCTTTTTTTGAATATCGTAATTACCAGACGCCGCCACCTACTGGTCACCTACAGAGACTCTAGCCTCTCAGCCTGAATGTCCCGGGTTCGAATTCTGGTGTTTGCCGTGAAGAACCGTTGACTTTTTTTAAACCCCTTCTCACTAGTCATGGGTGGTGTCTGTGTATTTAGTTGTTCGGATGGGACGAAAAACCGAGGTCCCGCGTACACATTGGCGTGCACGTAAAAGATCCCTTGGCAGTTGGAATTCGATATAAGAGTAGGACGTAGCGCCGCTGCCCGGGCAAAATTTCCCTCATAGCACACTCTATGGCGTATCCCCGTCTTCATTAGCCCAGTTTAGGAGCAGAACAGTAGGACGTTAAACCCCATTTCATTTCATTTCATTTCTCTTTACCAGAGCGGCAAAATATCCATCCAGGGACCAGGGCGACAACATTTAATTTAACAGTAGTTGATCTGACCTCTAGAGCATTACAATGTTTCGGTCACTAAGACAACAGGGACCTCAACTCGAAAACTCGAACCTTTTGAACGCTTACAATAAGGACTGGCGGACAAGGGTGGCTTTAACTGTCGGATGAAACATAACAAATTTTGATTTAAAAAAAAATATATTTTATTGGCAGAATGAAAAATTTTTAATACGAGGGTACTAACTGCTTCAACATTATAAAAGCCTCTGCAAAGATCGCTGGTACGCCATTTTCGTTTGGTTTGAGGAAGTCTTCCATTTCATCATTTGGTGTGATGTAGTATTTTTCTCGGAAAGGTGCCAGGGCAGAATGCGCTAAATCTGGATCCACTTCCGCATACACTGATGTGTGAACACCGTTAACGAGTATAAACCCATTAATAGTGAACGGGGCGAATATTCCCGTTGACTCCACCTCTTCGATCTTCATTACGGTTTCGGTCGTTCTACTTTCTTTATTAACCGTAATAAGGTGGTCTCCTACCTAAAATAAAAAATATTAATTAATTTACTCAGGATCCCATAGTTCAGTGTGCGAGAATAACAAATACAGAAATAGACCTACGGTGGAAATTGCCAGTTTGTCCGCGACAATAAAGTACTAATTTAACTTTCGATTCCCCGGTTGTACGTGACAAGGAGTAGGGTCGCCTGTCCAATATCGTGGGTTTTCTCCGGGTCCTTCGGTTTCCTCCCACTGCTAAAGATCCCTACACGCAAGTGAAGTATTAAAATAAAATTGAACCAATTAAAATTGTGTCGAGTGGACGTTAAACCTCTCTCTCTCTCTCTCTCTCGCTCTCTCTCTCTCTCTCTCATTTGACTACCTAGAATATTATAGATTATTTTACTGTGTGCAAAATCAGAGACAAATATGCCCACAATTGCTGTGATAGAGACGTTTAAATATTCAATTCAAGAGTCATGCAAGTTTAAAATGGGATCTACACTGCTTGTGCTCGCTATATTACATAAATTTATTTTCTTTTTAAAAGAGACAAAATATATGAACATAAAATTTGTTTATAAAAATCACTACATACCTCTACGTCTTTAGCCATTTTATAAACAACCGTGGAATTATTTTGATCTGTAACAGGTATGAAATGAAGATGGCTAATGGTCAGTTTCTTTGTTTCGGTTTGAATATGTAGATAACAGGCCGTGGACTCTGTGTCTTTATGGGCCATTGTCCATACTTCAGAAAATCCGATATTCCCATCCTCGAACATAACCTTAACCTCCTCTCCGACTTGTAAATTACGTATACATTTCTTTCCGTCAAGTTTCGTTTCAACTTGAACATCTCCCGGAAAACATCCCGAGTTAGCCGGGACCTCCTGTAAAAAAAATGTATTTTAAAAAAACTTGTATTTAGTCAAACAGGTTTGATTATAGAATAAAAGATTTTACAGCTTATCAAAGTACAAAAAATGTATTTGCAATCAATCACATTTACACTAAAATAAAAACAATCATTCCGTTTTATAATAAGCATGTATCACGTTTAGCGTCGATCCGTAATCAGCGTTCAGGATTTACCTCGCTTTGAAGAAAAATACGTTTTATAAATAAAAGGAAAAAAGAGAAGAAAAACACACAATATAATATATCACGACATAAGAAAGACATTAGAAATATGACTACCCTAACAATAGTAAATTTAAACATGGTATTTTAGGCAAACATTACAAAATAGTCGTTCATATCAAATTCATTATTAATGATAGCACACTTACTTTTTTATAAGGATCGTAACCCATGTTGTAGTTTTTATAATGTGTTGTTGTCGAAGAATTTAACTTAAAGCAACTGAGCTTTCTGAAAGCAATCCTTATATTTATATGATTTTTGGAGGAATTCCCAATTAAGAAAATGTTCTCGAAATGTCTTTGATGGATGTAGTAAGTTTTGGATTTCCAAAACAAAACTCGCTGAAATACCCGCTAACTATAGATGTCGTGAGCTTTAAAAAAAACACATGACGAATACCTTTATTATTACAAATTGTAAAAAAAAAAAATGAACAATACACCTGTAAAAAAGGTTTTTTCAGAAATATTACAAATAAGTTCTTGCAGGAATACCCAGCAAAATCACTGTATCATGTACAAACATGGGATTTTCAATGGTAATATCCAGACAGACCCGCCTTCATATATTATAATATCGATTACGTTTGTTCTATTTATATACACAATGCAATTTCTGTAATACAGCTAGTCAAGTATGTTTGTAACAGAGAGAGATAGATAGAGTGGGAGAACTTGGACTCGAAACAAACTAGGTCATTTCGGGAGTAACATATGGTGCAATTTCATTTCAGCAATTCATTTGCGCCTAGGGTTTTTTTTAGTACGGGATAAACCGGATGACCCAGAGAAAACCCAAGTGGTTTGATATAGGCGAGTCTATATTTCTTGGCATTTCCTTCATGAATATGTAATATTCATATATTGTATATTAACCATTTTATTGTATTGCTAATTACTCTTTTTAAGTTACAACACTTTGTAAATTTATAATATAATAAATAAAGGGAGATACCATATTGCTATTTGCTCGTGGGCCGTTGAACTTTCTAGCAATGATATTACGTAACCTCTTGCAGGAATTCCCAAATAATTATTGATCGTTTTCGTTGGGTCTTTTTATTCATATATTTATGTTTTAATATGCAGAGTAATATTCTTCTGTATCAGTAGTAGAATTTAGTTATTCGTGAAATAGGGTATTTCCCAGACAACTGTAGATATGTAAGTTCTATTTTTAGAACACTACACAGCGAGGACAATCCCTAATCCGATCAAATTTAAAAAATGAAATGAAATAAAATGGAGTTTATCGTCCAACTGTTTTGCTCCAAACTGGGCTAATGGGTATACGCCATACAGTGTGCTATGAGGGAAATTTTGTCCGGACAGCGGCACTACGGCCTACTCTTACATCGAATTCCAACTGTCAATCGGGTGTTCGATCCCTGCATTGACCGAGAAAGTTCATCTCGATTTTCCGGCGTGGTTTCCCCTTGTCAGTGATGCAGAATGGAGGGCCTGACAAGGACAGCTGCCTAGTCGTTCGGATGGGACGAAAAACCGAGGTCCCGTGTACACATTGGCGTCCACGTAAAAGATCCCTTGGCAGTTGGAATTCGATATAAGAGTAGGCCGTAGCGCCGCTGCCCGGGCAAAATTTCCCTCATAGCACACTGTATGGCGTATGCCCGTCTTCAATTAGCCCAGGTTAGGTGCAGAAGAGTAGGACGTTAAACCCCATTTCATTTCATTTTCAACTGTCAAGATATTTTTTACGTGCACGCCAATGTGTACACGGGACCTCGGTATTTCGCCTCATCCGAATGACTAGACAGCTGTCCTTGTCACGCCCTCCGTCCTGCATCACTGACAAGGGGGAACTTTCTCGGCCAATGCAGGGATCGAACACCCGGTCAAGTTTAATGATAATGAAATGTCTATTAAAATTTATGTATTAATTACTAAAGCACTTATAAAAAAGACGTAACTTGAAATCTATATTCACTTTGGATATTGGAAACTAAAATTTTCTCCAATGTGTAATCTTGACTGTCTCCTGTCGGTTGTTTACGAATCCCGATTTTGTCCTTGCTAGGTCATTTCGGTATTACTATTCCATTGCACTAGAGGACTCGGAGAAAACCCACGTGGTTAGGCAACCGACCCTACTCTTTGTCACGTACAAGCGTGAAACCACAGCCATGTCACTGGCCTCAACGACACACCTTGCATTAGTCCACACGGCCGCCGCAACAACCCAGCACCCCCACTCCACAACCATCACCCTATTGTAATGAACAATAGATGGACTCAAGGGAGTGATTATAGTTAATTAACCCCGATCAGTGAGGAGAGATTTCGAAGTAACAAAAAGTAACTAAAGTCGAAAGTTAAGATATTTTATTTATAAGTAACACGTTTAACAACTAAGGTCAACTAAAAGCAACTAATTTGAAGAAAGTGGATGTTCAATTCTGTCTTTAATCTTAATCAGAAATAACCTCCCGTGCGATTTTGGATAACACTTTCAGCGCCGGATTAACCAAGTGACGTATTGTGTATTTACGTATTCACTGAATTGGTCTGTTTTGATGCACTAAATTATGCGAAACATCTATGTCAAGATATAAACAGTCATTTAGTCAAAGTTCACCCAAGTGACCCCTAACGTGACCTCTATTGCAAACCAGTCAGATCAAAATGGAAATTAAAAAACGAAATTTAGAACTGTATTTTAATCAGATTGAGAATATATTGTCTATTGTTTTAGAATTAAGGTAAAAGAAAATTGAGTATGAAAAGTTCAATACAGTTCTATTTTTCATCTAACCATATATATTTCTGTGTTATTTAAAACTAACAACGAATAATAATAGACATAATTTAAGTTACAGATATAATTTTTGCAAAGATGATCTAGCTTTCGGAAAATTTAATTTTTAAACAATGGAAAACCTCTAAAGCGTATTGTGCTTAATATGGCGGCATTAACTGCCGCAACATTTTGAAAGCCTCATCAAAAACCTTAGGCACGCCGTTTTCGTTTGGTTCAAGAAATGCCTTCATTTCGGCTTTTGGTGTGACGTCATATTTTTCTCTAAGGCCAGCTAGAGCAGGGTGAGCCAAGGCTGGTTTCACCTCTGCATAAACTGAGGCTTGGACACCGTTTACAAGGATGCAGCCATTTTTAGTGAAAGGTGCAAACACTCCCTTCTTTCTACTTTCTCTATATTTATAACCATCTCTGTAGTGGGTTGGTTCTCTCCACCAATTGTTGTCCAAAGGTAGTCTCCTACCTAAAATCAAAATAATAAATTAACATTCAAAAATAAAAATAAAGAAAATATCACTCTTCAAAATTCAAACCATGAACAAGGTATCTCAACCCACCTCCCTCTCCCTGCGGGTTCAGGGCCAGAACAATAAAATAACACGTCATTCGTATAGAAATAATATAATTACACACCTTTATCTCTGCTGCCATCTTATATTCAAAGTTACATGTAGATTTTTTTTCATTAGTAACGGGAACGAAATGGTGATGACTGATAGGTAATGTATGTGTGCTTGTAGATAATATTAAATACGTAGCAGTTGAACTGGGATCGTCATGGGCTATTACCCATACCTCTGAGAAGTCAATGGTTCCATCTTCTAAAAAAACTTTTACTTGGTCCCCGACTTCCAAGTCTTTTACGTATTTGGTTTGTGTCTTTGTTTCTACCTTGGCATCTGCTGGAAAACAATTCAACCCACAACACCAGTCGTCATCATCATACTGTAAAATAAAATATTTTATATATCATTTGCTGTTTTTTTAATCCCTTGCAAACTACAATATTGTGGAAGTTGAATCTCTAAAAGAACTTTGAGTCCAATATTAGTTCCGTTCCGTTCAGTATTTACAAAGATACGATTAACTGAAATTTTGTCAACGTTCATCATCCTCATCATACAATCAACACAAGCCGGCGTCACCTTTTATCTTCGATCAACCCATTAAATGAGCCTCTTTTTAACCCAACTGTATCGAAGCCGATGGATTATCTACCGTTGACATTTTGATTTTCTTTTCTTAAAATGTTAAATAATCAAAAAAAAAAGCCAGCATATTTTAGTGTAAATTATAAAAGCCGCGATAAAATATGTATTGCCCGAAAAATGCTAATGACCATAATTTTATAAAGAAAATATCTTGTATTACCTGTTTTGCATTTCTTGTGTGGGGTATTATATTAATATATTATATATTATACAATTACATAACTTAATAATCCCGATTGGTCGCTAGAACTTATGGTTTTTAAGCTTTTAACGTTATTTTATCTGGATTATCGCCCTTATGCAAAACAGGTATGTTGAAGAAATCGTACTATGTAAGTGTATTTATAAAGACATAAAATTAAGGGAGGTAATTCAGACAGGGTTTGGTAATTACAGAAAATCTAAAATAAAATTTAAATTGGATCATTATCCAGTATGTAGTCGGTTATATACTTACAAGAAATGTCAAACTTGGTATGTTGAAGAAATGGAAGTTTTGAAATTTCTTTTAAAATGCGTAATTGTGTAGCGCCCTTGGCAGTGCATTTAAAGTAAAGAGATTTTATTCGGGAGAGAAATAGTTCTTTATTGTTACATATTGTCAAAAATCGTAATGCCTGTGAATAGAAAACACTATATAGCGTGGTATCTGGTATGTTACTATAGATTGACGGGTATTTTACTACTTCAAATCCAAATTTGTCCGTTTTGTCGAAAATACCGACATTAAATTTATTGCTACGATCCATTAGAGTCTTGCTAACGTGTCGTTTGTTAACGGTCGGTTAAATTTCAGTTGCTGGAAAGTCAATTTTATTATGCGTTAGCTAACGGATTGATTACAGTTAATCCAAGAGAAGACTGTTCATTGACTGAATTTTAAATTTTTAAATTGAATGTACAGTATAACAACTTCATAGAAAATGAAGACAGTGGGACAACTCTGCAGTCTGTTCACAAAACATGATTAAAGACAAAAGATAACTGTAGAATTTACTACAGAAAACACTATAGAATATTTTATTTTTTCTTTTAGAAATTTTAGCATAAATCTGTAGGAAAAATTAAATTATAGGATTTGCAATTCAGAATATTTGGGGACATTATTTCCTACAGGCCCCCAAAAGTCTATAGAATTTCATCCTATAGAAAATGAAATAGCCCCCCATCGACCAACCCTCTAGAATGTTCCATAGAAAATTACACTGGTAATCTATGAATTTTTGCAACAGCAAACTAATGCCATCGTTAAATAGATAACGGAGCCCAACACTTCCGTTAAATTTAACGGCAAGTTAACGGGGCTTCCAGCAACAATCTTTCTCTACGTTCAAGTAAATGATCTCCATGTTAAAATTGACTGATGTGCACTGTCATTGTTAATAATGGTTGTGTAGGTGACGGTTCCTTTATTTTGTCATTATTTTTCCCTAGTATATTATTTTATTAAATCATGCAGTAGACTGAACTGCCATACAACACTAGTTCCTTCCTTTGTAACTAGATATGTAGTTCCCTATCTTAACGTTAAATTATTCTGATATTATTAAAGCATCCAGGTGGCTTAGGGGCCATCCTGCTCTACACAACCAGTTATCTTTTCTTGACTAGTGCTCTTTTAACGCATCTAACTTAAAAGTTAATTACTGATTCTGCTATGAATTTTGGGATAGCTTCATAAATTTTATATGACATATTCCGAGGGGGGGGGGGTACATTTTGGAGGGTATATTGAAGTTTGGCATCTTCCATTAAACTTCGTACAGGGAGTCTTTTCTCTTCCAACTTATTGCACGCAATGATGACATGATTAACGGTCAAATTGTGGCCACATTCGCACTTCACTTGGTTAAATTTATGGTCGATATTTAAATCCTTAGTTCTTAATCTTGTGATTAAGCCACACATTTTGCGCAATGGGTGAATGATCTCCGTCTTTACAACCAGATCGTTGTTTAAATTGAATCTAAAAGTATTTGCTCCGGCCAACCCAATTTTCCATTCTGATTTAATTTTAGTTTTGACGATGCTATTAAATTCCTGAACGCTATATTTTAAGTATTTGAGTCTGCGACTCATTGCCTGCTATGCCAACATGGGATGGTATCCATGTAAATTCTACGGGTTTATTTTTGTTTCGGAGGGAATAAACACTTGCTCAAATATTATGAACAATGTCTGGTCTAGGTGTTTTTTGTCATGTATTATTGACTTTATGCTGCTAAGGGAATCTGACACAATGACTGCTCTTTGAACGGTGGATGACACGAGTCACTCAAGAGCTATGGATATTACCTTTAATTCTGCTGTATAGATAGAACATCCATCTGGTAGCCTTTTTGATATATTAATATTAAATTCGGCAATGACTACACCTAATGCAGTTTTGGTAGTGTTTGGATCGTGAGACCCGTCCGTGTATATTTCCACATGCGATGACCATTTTTCGTTCAAGAGCGTGTTGTGGATTTTCTTTTTTCTTGACAACGTTATCTAGGCTTATGTCATAGTTGTCCATAGGGCATGATACGAAAATACCCTGTCAGTAATCTGATAGTGATCTAATCTTAGGTCTTTTAATAGATCATTTGCTCTATGACCGAACGGCTGAGGATCTGATTTGACATTCCTTTTGAATTTTTTCCTTGATGTTTTTGTACACTTAAATGTTGGACAGCTTTCCCGAAGCCAGTTCATTTCGCCTCAATTCGAGTGACATATCACCTACTTCCTGCAATAGACTTTCCCTTTTAGTGTCAAATGAGACTTTCGTTGCTATCTGTATTGCCTGATATTGTAAACTATCTAGTTTAGCAAGAGCTGTTTTATTTGCACTCGCAAAAGCAACACAACCATAGTCACATATTGATCTTATCATGGACTTATATATCATTAGCAAAGTCGTCTTATATGCTCTCCAGGCATCTCATTACGTTCAGAACATTCTGTCCTCGTTTAACAATATTTTTAATATGAGATATAAAAGTCATTTTACGATCAAAGGTTACCTCTAGAAGCTTTGCCTGATCTTTAAATTCAATTCCGATATTGTTCAATTCCAGTTTCATAGACGAAACTTCCCTATGGTCCCTACAGAAAAGCATGCCTTCTGTTTTACTTTCAGATATTCGAAATCCCCAGTCATTAGACCATTTCGACAATTTGTCTAAAGCTTCTTGCATTCTCGTTCTAACCGTACCGTAGTTATTCGCTGCATGCAAGATTGAACGGTCGTCAACTCTTTTTTCTAGGAGATAGATTTGTCGTAGCATGTGCTTGTTAAGAGTTATCCCCCTTTAATTGATTCGCAAATAAACGAAAATGCTCAATAAATTATTGTTAAACGCTTGTTACATGACACACTCTTACTCCAAGTGAATAACCCGTCGTTCGGTCAAGGTTTGGTTACTAAAATATATAGGATATTGTAATTACTTTTGATTTTCTACTTCGTTCAACCTTCTAATGTACGTACTTTTTATCATCTTTGGCTGGCATATGGGTTACTGCAGCTGGTTTGATCGATGCGTTTCAAAGTTTTGGCATTATTATGCGCGGGCGTTTATCTGGCTTAAAATATTATATATTTTATATGTTGCCCCTGTTTAGCCACAACACTTTATTAAAGGAGCTAAATCTTTAACTCAATATTTTCCATAATATTCGAAATTAAAAACACGAATTAGAATTCAATAATGATTAATTTCAATCAATATTGATGTTGTAATCTTGCCGTGAAACTATAAGATCCAATATTTAGGACAAAATTAACATTTTATAATCAGTACACGAGTCGTACCCTAATGTTTCGGATGCCATTATATAATGAACAAATAAAAACCTATCCTAAAACACAATGTGGGAGTAATTAGTAAAGGCTAATTCACAAACGACAAAATGCACTAAGCAGGCGTAAACGAGTGTGCCGAGTAATGTTTTATAAAACAGTTGTTGGTAAAAATTAATAAAAAATAAAAAAAATACAATGTTACTTGCTCGTAAACTTGAATTTTTCCGGTAACTTTTCTGAATGCAGGTACCTAGTGACGTGGGTATAAGCCACCGGTTTGAGGTTCTCGTCACCGTCAGAGTATCACGGGCCCGTAAAACTCTACAAACATGGTAAGCTCGCCAGTGTTGCGCTGTCCTGCCAGTGATTATGCACGCGGTAATGCAGACGTCACACTGTCCCGAAATTGACACATGATAGCGTAAATGTTCAAATTCCGCTGTGATTGTAAAAACATCGGGCCATTCGTGAGGGCATCTTAAACCATCGTATGACCTCTTGTGTAGTTTCCCAGACACGGGCAGCAACTTCTTGGGGGCTGGCAAAAACTTCTTTGGCGCATGCCAAAAAATTTACGGAAGGCTTTGCAAAGGTTCGTTTTCTTTTTGAATTTGTGTGTCCATTTTGCCCTTCATAAGGCCATCGTGAGGGCATCTTGTGAAATCGCGTTATCTTCGTCTGATCATCGGTGCTATTGGCCATTCTTATGCGTCCACAATTTGTTTGTGGACACTCTACAGGTCACAATTTTTGACGAAACTTGAAATATAGGGTTATCGCCCAAAGATCTTGGTTCTTTTCGATACTATTATAGATTATGACCCATGATTGTACGAAAAATCACGTTTTAGCTTGTGGACACTTCAGAGGTCACAATGTTTTTTATCCGATTATGATGAAACTTGAAATGTATGTTTATAACCCAAAGATGTCGATTCCAGTCGATATTCGTGCATATAAGACCATTTCTTCCTGGATTTTGGCCCCTGAGTTTACGAAAGTCGTGTTTATAGCGAGTTTTCAATATATATTCGATTTAGAAAAAAACGTTTAAATGTATCACCGTTACACCATAATGACGGTTGGGTTCGAATTTTGTGAAAATCGGACAGACACTGCCGGACAAAATGGACACACGAATTCAACACGAAAACGAACCCTCGCAAGGTCTTTCGGCAATCTTTTGGCATGCCAAAGATTTTGCTAGCGCTCAAGAAGTTGCTACCTGATTCTGAGAAACTCCACAGGAGGTCATACGATGGTTTAAGATGCCCTCACGAATGACCGATGTTTTAACGACCAGAGACGAATTTGAACATTTACTCTTATCGTGTGTACCGTGTCAATTTTGGGACAGTCTGACGTCAGAATTATCGATCGCTCTAAGTAGGCTGTGTGGTATCCGATCATTTTCTTTTTGGTATTTTGGCGTTTGATGATCACGGGTTTTGTTTTCCCACTTGTTTGCTTGCTTAAAATTTATTTCCTGTCAAAATAGTATACATCTGATCATGAAGATGTTGTGTTCAATCTCAGTTTCTGTGTTTCGGCAAAATTTCCCCCAGTTACCCCAGATATACACCAAAATAATGTTAGAGACCATGTTCATGTATATTTCCTCATCGACCAGTTGACTTTCCTGAGGGTCCTCACTGGCCCTGATTCTACATACAAACACAGCGTTCGTTTTATCCCCATCATGTCACGGCATTACGTTTCTGATATCACAACCCCTTCGGAAATTCTCCCTAGTTTTTTAGATTGTTCCAAATGAAGTCAAACTATCAAAATTCTACTGACATTGCAGTTGCCTACATCTACCTTTCTATAGGATCATTATACTTTCTAACAAGACCGTTTCCACCTCAAAAATGCACATATTTTTTTTTACTTTGGAACACAGAAAAAGTAAAGGGTTGCGAAAGGAGCAAGGTATAAAAAGGCATTACTTGTCCCTAAATTTGGTTATCTCGGTTGTTTGAATATGGCCTTCATAGACATTAGACATAATATCAAGGGATATCAGTTTCAAAATGTGATATATAGTACAAAGTAGAAATCTAAAAGTAAAAGAGAAAATCCTATCTATAAGAAAAATAAAGCTTTTTATTCTACTTACATTGACATAATTTCGTCCTATAATTGCCAACTTTTAACTATCTTTCGACTTTCTACTTTAGACTATCAACTCAAGATTTTCTACCACAGATTTTTAACACTAGAATTTACGTTAATGGCCAGGATAATACCTGTTATTCTGCATAATTAAAATACGGAGAATTGAAATAATATGGATGTAAAGAACATTGAGATATGAAATGAAATTGGATTTAACGTCCTACTTTTAAACTCTTTACAGGCTAATGATGACAGGCATACACCATGCAGTGTGCTTCTTTGGAAGTTTTACCCTCTTCTTATTTCGAATTCCAACTGTCAAGAAAGTTATACCCTTCATCATTAGCCCGGATGGAGCAGACAATTGGAACGTTAATCTCCGTTTCGTTTCAGTTATGGACCAGGCGTTGGGTCGTCTGCCTGAACTTGTCGGTTTTCTGTGGGGGCTTCGATCCCCACCCTAACTACTAATAGACAATTTCGGCGCCAAAATCGGACGAAAAACAAGGTTGGCATCTTGATTGTCTTAAAACAACCTCACCTGATAAACATACTAAACGAGGCTTATTATTCAATACATACGATATTTTCTGGCAAAGCTTTCATGAAATCATCACGGTTGCCTGCAAATGTCAGTCTGATGCTTTAAAATCATCAAATACAGGAGGATGAACATATAAGATATCTTATATTATAAGTTTCTTCCCAGCTTTCTGCTTTGCAAAATTGGTGATAACTGCCTGGAACCGTGACCTCTGCGATTTTCCGTTCGTACTGACAGCAACGATACGCACAGAAATGCATAGAAGAAAGTGGTCGCGAAGCAGTCTCGAGTCAGCTGTTGAACAATACGTTGAACAAAAATTCGGCGGCGTTCGCGATCGCAATCAGTATAATAACAACTTCATTGAAATAGGTGTTAAGCAATCGAATGTGGTCGCCGCGTTCGTTGTCTTGGTCGTGGTCTTGGTCGCCGTCTCATTGACTAGACGCTGTTCCTTGTCAGACTCCCCTCCTGGAAATGACTGGGATCGAACACATGACCTCAATGTTAGTGAACAAGCGTCAGTGCCGCTCCCCTTGAGTCAAATATAATTGGGCTACGTATAACGGCACTGATTAATTATGTGATGGCACATGGCACATGGCTCATGTATCTTAGACTGAAATTGAAATTAAGTTTTGTAAACTTTTACATAATTATAAAATCCCCCGTCTCTCATTTCTGAGTGAGTACGTATAAAGCCCTGTTTGAGTCTCGGGTATATACTATTAAGGGATTGGCCCCCGACATCAACAAACCTTTGCACGCTACGGGTTAATGCTCGTGATTCGTTCTAGTTTGTGCTTCATGTTGAATTAATATTGAGGTAGTGATGAAAATCATTCCTAAATAAATAAATACAGATTGACTGACAATCGTGACAATAATTCATTCGAGTATAGAATCAAATAATAAGAACGTATACATTGCATTTTAAAATATGTATTGCAATTTGTGTATAATAGATAAATCAATAATATGGTATACATAAATATAAATAAACTAAATGTGTATTTTGACAAGAAAAAAAAAATGTTTAAATTGAATAAGAAGTTAGGGTTTTCATATTTCACCAATGACATATTATATACTATTATTAAAGACATGTATTTAAAGTGTAAAAGAGGAATAGATTTAAGACAAATAGTTAATTATAAGATGCAGTCATTGTTCCATTATTTGATATATAATTACGATCAATAATATTACTTAGTTGTTCTTAAAATTTAAATAAAAGTGATACTATATTTTATAGCAGCGATCCATAAACAAATTTTCTTTAGAGTATTAAACATATAATATAATATAAATTTGGAACAAATTATTAAAATAGATACTATATGCAAACCTAATTTTTAAAGAGGAAACATGATAAACGACCCCCAAAAGATTTTATTTTTATTTTGATTAAACACAATTAAGCGAAGTGCAACATGATGAAAGACCAATACAACTTTTTATTTTATCATTGTGATTAAACACAATAAAGAGAGTAAGACACTCAGACAGATAGTAATTTAGATGATTAATAACAAATCTTGTAAGTTTAATAATTATTTGACATCGATGTTAGAGAATACAAATCAAGAATATCCAAAGTTTACAGAAGGATTGAGATGACGACCTGAAATCAGCAGAAATTTAAACAAACTTAAAATGGCCCACAAGGTACGTTAGCATTAATTTAACAGATGTTATTCGGAAAATGTTTTGGAATTACTAAAAAAGTATATTCTAACGGAAATTAGACATT